ACTTTACTCCTTAAAAATGGGCGGTGTGGCGTGGCCGATTAAGCTACATGATGATAATATTTATAATTATTGATAGTGATTGCAGACAAATGACGCATTGGTTTGCGGTTGTCGGTCATTATTACCTGTACAAATAGTGTAGAATAAGTTTGGAACCGTTCTTTACCACAAGTAGGTTATGTGTGTTGTATAACGGCAGTCGCCGATCATTATTATTTATTACATGTACAAAAATCCTATAAGTAAAGTTTGAAACCGTATAATATCTTCCCTATACACGTTATGATACACACTAGCAATGTGATGCTTCGTTATAATTTATAGCGTCTCTAAAAAAAAATACAATTAGTATTTTTTCTAACAAATTGTTAAATAATAATTTAGGCAATTAATTCATTTTTATAGTATATTTTTTTCTTTAAAATAATAGTTCAGGTAATATATTATACTTTTTTCAAAACGACACCAAACTATTTCTCTCTAATATAGCTATAAATGATTCTTAATAGTGCACTAATTTGAACTTTAAAAAGGTATAACTTTTGAACAGGTGAGTATAAAAAATATTAACAGAATATCTCTGATTCCTATTTGAATTTTAAAAGTTGATAGTGCGCATGTGCAAACTACACAAGGTTAAACTTTAGATTTTGGCTTAAAATGTTCGTTAAGTTTCAACTAATAACAATTAAAAGTCAAAATTTAAGAAAAATCAAAAGCGGCTCTGTAAATCAAGGCGTTCCAAACTTTTTGAACAAAAACACTGTGCAGCTTCTCCACAATTTGACCGACGAAGGTAGTAGGTAGTATAATAAAAAGTTACTGTAATGGAGTTACCAAAATATTAGAAGCTGTGTTATATGACTTTTATAATAACAAATTCATCTAATCCATTGCGTTCTTTTCGGAGATATCTGCCGTAAAATTGTAAAACCAAAATAACAATAATTGAGCGTGTCTGGTATTGTATAATAAATAAATAAAAAAAAGAGTGAAATATTTGCTTATACAAGTGTACATTTTTTTAAATTAAAAAAAATTATATTTTTAATAATTTATTTTCATTTAGTATTTTTTTATTTTAAAACTTAAATCATGTTTTTTCATAACGTACACGATATTTAATTTCTTTAAATTTTTTATGCTATTAATCATTTAACGCTTACAACACATGTTCATTCGTGGGTAAATATTTTACAATATATTTGTTCATAACTTGTAGTTTATACAAGTAATTTTTTTTAGCATGTGTATAGATTAATTAGGACAAATGTTTTTACCTATATGCGTACGGTCAATAGATAACAAATCTATTACTACTGTCAAAACTCAAAACCCAAGGAAAAACAATAATTCGTCAATGGCGACGAGCACAGTTCAACACAGTTGTGGCTATTATTAGAGGATGTTTTATTAAATCATTGAGATCATATTTAATTAAAAAACAAACGAAAATGCGTTTTATAAATCACCTTAATTTTTAACATAGTTTACGTGGCATAATGAAATAAGCATTATTAAATTTTTTTAAATCCGGTAACTAATTCTATGTAAATAATCAACGTGCAATATCTTTGCTTTTGTATGATTGAACTGCTAGAGAAAACATACTGCTTTGATAGCTAACCGTGGAGCTTACTTAGACACTATAGGTAGTTTGCCACATTACCAAGTCAAAACGGAAACCCAGGTTGGTCAAATGATCACTTATATATTGGACTTGGAACTGCATTTTTTTTTTACATAAAACTGGTAGTCGTAACTGGCAGGATCTAGCGCATCTCGTTCGTTCATCATTTGCTCCAAAATTACCGGTTCGAAATCCGGTTGACAATTGGACATCAAAAAGCTGAACAAGTCGAGGGTGTGCCGGTTTAATTCATCGCCATAGTTTAAGCCAGGTTGCCACCACACCTTCGTCGTGGGTGATGTATTTGAACCACGCGTTCTTCCATAAGTGTTCTCTGTAAACACCTTGGACCAACATGTCCTGTAGCGCTGTCGGCGGCGGAGGCGACGGGTTGACCCGCATTACAAACGCCGGTAAAATTGTAACTATCAAATGTACGGTTGCAATTGTCGCGCATTGCAACATTGGGTTTGGATTTCAAATTTCAAATTTGAACACAGTTTTGGCACAGTTTCGGCGAGTCTTGGCCTATGGATCGGGCAAACGGCAGAAGAAGAAGAAAAATATTTGAAATTCCGCTGAAAACGTCTACTACTCGAATGTAGTCTGTACCGAAACATAGAAGGGTTGAGTACATTATATAACAAAACACACAAAATTGTTTGCCCATATGTAACATATGCGCTGAATGTCAACGTGAACATCATTAATTATGGAAACGTCGAGTTATCAGTATATATTTTTATATATACTGATAACTCGACGTTTCGCAAACGGTTTTTTTGTTATTGATTTTTTTTCTTTGACGACTAGTCGGGATTTGAAGATTCTATAGGACGATATTTTAGGCATTAAACAACGGATTCTCAAAGCTCGGCAAGTGTATGTAAAATGTAGACGCCATGCTGCGGTGTACACACACAACACAAGTGTATTGAAAACAGAATATTATTTGTAAAGTGTAAACCGCTAATATTGATTAACCAAAATAACAGTCTACTTAAAGTCTAACGGCTAAAATTATAAAACATGGAACATATGCTTATCTATAATTGAAATAAAACTTGGTACCGTGAGTTTTTGAGAATGCCATATTTTACTTTTTCGTGTCTCAACAAAAAAAACATTGGGTTTGATTATAAATACAACCGATGAACGTCAAAGGTAATAAAATAAACATGCGTTCTATACAAAAAATGAACCGCCCAGTTTTGTATTTTATGAATTATGAACAAAAATAATAAATTAGAATGTAACGTTTTGATAAATTACATTAATATTAATAATTTAAACCAAATAAGTATTATACTACTGGAGCAAAAAATGAACCGCCCAGTTTTGTATTTCATGAATTATGAACAAAAATAAAAAAATTAGAATGTAATGTTTTGATAAATTACATTAATATTAATATTATAAACCAAATAAGTATTATACTACTGGAGCAGTTACTAACCCAGAAGTTATTAAAAACCAACTAGCGTTAAAAAGAGAAAAATTAACGGCACCTGTCAAAGGCCGATCGGTATTGATCACTTTACCTGCCATCAGTTAAGTTCTCTGAAAAAGTTCTTCGTGTCCTTCCAAGTTGCAGTGCCTTGTTTGTTTTACGCTCCGAAACGGTAATTAAAAGTTCTTTTAGGGGAAGTTTGTTTTATGTATATAAATATCGAAAATATTGTCCAATACCGGTAGAACAGCCTTCACCTGTCAAAGTGTAAACATGTTTTTTTATCACGCTCGTAGTTTTTAAAACTTAATTTCTAAGAAATACAACTGTATAATTTGAATTTTATATCAATTATTAAAAGACAACACTTCAATCTACCAACACCGAGTAAAATACATTTTACACCGTAAAGCTGTAACCCCTCATAGGTAAGCGTATTCATAAATTTTAATTAATACACAACACACTCACAATGCATCGCACCATGTGCAATCAGCTAACAACAGGCCATAAATCAGATAATATCAAACCGATAACTCCAATCTAACCTGCATTTGATAATTTCGTCATTTGTTTTGGATATTTATTTATTTTGTTAAATGGTTACAAACCGTTCGTCTGAGCGCTGATTCATGTCAGCTCACTAGTATTAGCTTCAAACATAGAAGATGTATTTACCGTAGATGGCGTCTCCACCCTATATTTATGAAATGCGAGAAGAAAACAAACACAAGTCAACCAGAAATTATAATTTTTTTGAAATATATGTTCCGAAGTTACTTAACAAATTATACAACTACTCTTATGAGTTGAATATCGTGTAGAAAAAAACAATACAAAATTTCCTTAGATTTACTGTTGAATCAAGTCCATATATATATATATATTATTTAGTGTAGGTCTTTAAAATGTTTATAAAATGTTAATAATAAAATTGAAAAATGGGCAATTCCAATCTATTCATAATAGATTTTATAGCGCAGTTGTATTTTAATATTTTTTTACTTCAATATTTTTTAAATAGAGTACATTTTACTCAAAACAAATGCATATCAATGTTTACTTTTATTAATAAAATATAATTTTTTTTTATTGAAAAAAAAAATAACACTAAAATGTAAAACTGGTTGCAGTAATTTTATACTAATAATTAAATATTATGTGTTCGGTTAAAATATGAAATTTCTTATTACTAAATTGTACAATAATGATACTATATGGTTTTTTTCAGACACAAAAAACATGGTTGATTTGTTGAGTGGTAAAAAGGAAGCTTTGATTGACAATGGGTTCTTAAAACGGTTTTGTTCAGTTGTGTGGATTGTTAAACAATGGCCAAAGATGAATTTTATTTTAGTCTTATACTCGGTCATAATACTTTTGTTCAGTATTGTTGGTATCTCTTACAATTATGAAAATAATCCAATCTCTGACAGTTACAGATTGAGTCAAATAGTAACGGTTTATATTATCAGTGTTGTATGTATAGAAAAATATGTTACAATAGTCAGAAAGGCTAATAATATTTTAACAATATTAAATATCTCGAGTACTGATTCTTTGTTGATTCAGCAAGATCAATTGGACAATGAAAATATTTTAAGATTCAAAAAACTAAGTGCTGTTTTTTTTTGTTATTGGATTCTGATTTGTTTTACCGTATTTTTATGGATAGTTTTCCCAATTCTTTATAAGTATACAATGTCTTACAACGATTTGAACAGCTTGAAAATCATAAACGTAATCAATTTTTACTATCCAATTTCTGACCAATCCTATAGCAGATATTTTTATTTTATTCATATAATTGAAGCCTCGTTAGTCGTTTTGTTGACATTCTACACTTTCATTTTTGATGTATTTGTTTTCTCACTCTGTTTGGCGATAACTACGCACTATAAAATTATAACGTCAGGTTTAATGAAAATTGGACAAGACAGTAACGAGACAAGTAAGTGATAGAAATGTATAAATATCAAAAGTATTATACGGTAAAGAATTATGCAAATATATTGCTACCTTTTATTTATAATTGCTACAGCGATTTATCACTATAACAAAATAACAAATAACACATTATCAAGCTATATAGTTTATGAACTAACAACTAAACTATAATTTGTGTACTTTTGTGGCTTAAAATTTAATTTAAATTTTATATTTTATTGTTGGTATAGGTGACGGAATTTATGAGGAATTGAATACTACAATTTCTCGCTGCCAAAAAGTGCATTTGTAAGCTTAAATCTATATGGGGTTTTGTTTAACAATAGTGTTAATATATATTTTTAATACAATATTTCAGTCTATATAAATTTATTTTGTATAATATTTTTTGTAGGCATATGAGAGAATTCTGTTCCATAGTTCGTTTCAGTGCATTATTACATGTTGGTTGTTATTCTGGCTCACTCATAACAATTGTTTATAACATCGCCATGGTATTTTATTATAACTAATTTCAGAATTTTCACCAATATCTATATTGCCTTTCGTGTAGCTTTTTAATGTAATAAAAAAGTCCCAATCCGTAGTACTAACCGCAATAAAATATGTTTTAAATGTCAATAAAAAACAATGAATAGACACAATTGATTCTTGTTCATAAATAGTATTGACTTTATCGATCATGTCAATTTCATTCCCCACAACGATTGATAGGAAAAAACAAGTTTTTTTTTTGAAAATATTATTTTTTGTGCAGTTCACATTGTTTATTATAATTCATTTTATAGGTTAAAATTGTAAATGATATTTTTGGAATAATTTAACTTTTAAGAAAATAACTCGTTAAAATTGTTATTAATAAAAATGTTCTTATTTCAAAAATTTGTACTTTATCCTGGTAAATCTATTAGTTTTTATGAAGAAATCCTCGTTAAGTTAGACATTTTTAAGAAAAGTTCTATATCGTTGGGCTTAGTTTGGTTAATGCAAGTTAGCTGTTTAATTTTACACAAATTTTCTTATTTCTTCAGATATTTGTAACTTATCCTCTTAATTATATTGGCCTATTGCAATTCATTGTATCATACATCTGCGTCGCTGGACAGCTATTCAATTACCTATATTTTTCGGACCTTATGAACGAGGCGGTAATTCAGGTTAAATGATATAAAGGTGTCTATTGTGAATACAAATATTTCTCTGGTTTTAGAGAGATGGTTTAAACTTTGGATTATACAGTTGTAACTGGACGGCAATGGATATGCGATTTAGAAAATTACTGCTGTTAGCGATGGCGATGAACAATGCGAATCAGTTGAAAATTAGAGCTACACCTACAAAAGTAATCGATTTAAAGTTATTTTTGAGTGTAAGTTTTACGAGAATATTGTATTATTCAAAAGCATACATCGGTGACGTTTTTCTAAATTGGTTTTTAAAAAACCACTTTTAATCTCGTTAATAGGCGAATAAATTAACAGTTGACACAAGACATTATACTTACGTTGAAGTATTTTTTCTGCTAACTCTTTTTATATGGATACATACAAAAACATTATTTTGAAGCATTAATTTCATTTTTAATAAAATATGTTGTCCAGGTTTTACAAACATCATATTCAGTAGCAAATATTATGGTGAACATGAAGTTATCGAATACGGATTAACAAACGTGCGTTTTTGAAATCGAAGATCGGCTGATAAAAACAAATCACAAATACACAGCTAGGTGTTTGGAAATCACATAATTTTAGTTATAAAACAAAAATCACGTTATAAATGTTTTAATCAGTTAATATATTTAAGGAAATATGATTGAAACATAGTTGTTACTTTCTATTAATATATGTATTTGCTGTATGGCGTTATAACCAATAAAATGTGCAATAATATTGAGATTTTGAAAGCATATTTTGGTGTGCAAATTTGGAATTTATGTTATAGTATGTCAACTGTATGAGTGGAATATTTTCTTATACATACATTTAATTTAACACTAACTCATTCTGTTATAAGATTCGATACAGAACTCGAAAGGTATTTGTCGAGACTAATTTTTTTTTGATAATGTATAAATTTAATATAGAGTTAAAAATAATGTTATTTTGAATTGCATAATTAGGTTTGACCCGTATTTGAAATACTTTTTATTATTTTAGAAAAATGTATACATTTTTTGTAAATACTTTAATTTTTCCGTTCAAACACAATACCAACAATAGAGTGACACAACTTGGTAATACGACAAATTATTTCGACTAGAGTAGTAGTTATGTAATAATATTGTTTGCCGATGTTGGCCAATCCGTACATTTAATACATTATACATACTACGGCAGTTATTTTAGTAAAAAATAACAATTTTCCCTTTTTCGTTAATTATTAAACTTTAAACTACAATGTTATTAGATACATACAAAATCTACTATATTAAAGATAAAACAAAGACCATGTAGAATGTTTGATTTATTCGTTTAACGTGGTTTCTCTGAATTTCTTTCACTTAATATTGTATTACAGAACATTTATTACTATCCACGAAATGTCAAAACTGCTTTAATTTTATATAAAGCTATTGCAAAGTTAAGGTGCTCCAAATTTAGGAAGGAATCGCGAAGGAGCAATAAAAAATTGCCTCAGAATTTCCCAAATTAATTCATAATATATTAGTGTAGGTCATTTAAAATATTTAAACGACAGTTCAGATTATACTTGTGTAATAATTGACCTTGGTTATCTTAGCTTCGATGCGGAACTTAGGTGTATTGTTCAATTAAGGCATTAAGCAATAAATAATTTATATTGCATTCTTCTTAAAATTTTAAGTACCTATTATTATTTGTTTAAAGGAGAAAACATGTTATCATAATAAGTACTTTTATAATAAAGGCACTTGTAACTTGAATACCTAGTAACATATATATTTATATGGATTTTTAAATTAAGAATAGTTTACTGACAATTTAGACTGGTCGATAACCAATTAAATTTATTTAATTAAGAATAAAAGTAAGGATATGAGGTGGAATGTGATTCGCTGGGTAACTTCACATATAACTTTAAACCGAATTAGGAATTAGATTTAGTCATTATTAAGCCCTAGGCCATTGAGAACAACGTGACCAACAATTTTCAGAAAGTTTAATTTAAGACGAATCTCTAACTCTTACATTTCTTGTAATAAACTATTAGTTTCTAATAATTCCTATTTATAAAATCATAGTTCTGTGGCAAAATAAAGCTTATAAATAAAAAGCTTAAACAATAACTCTAAAATTCTTGAAATTGATACATACCTAATTTATCAGTGTTATCAACAGTTTCTGAATATTCATTTAAATAGAGGGTCCCTTGTATTCACGTCAGTTAACTAGTATTATTAACTTAGTACGGTAAATTATATAATAAGTTGATGAGAATGGGGTTTAGAGTTATACTTTTATGAGTTCTATTCATTTTTAGTGTGGTTTCTGCTCACTGCAGACGATATTCTACAAAATCATAATACCATGTATTCCGTGCACCTTAGCCAAATAAGTAGGTAAAAAATACAATAAACCTAAAAATTCGTGCAGAAAGAACACTTAAAAATTCCATTTATATTTCCCAAAAGAATATATAATATATTAGTGTAGGTCATGTAAAAAGTTTAAAAGACACGTTGGAGTATACTTGTGTGAGTTGTCCTTCGAAAGAAATTAGCAGGCGATACACTTTATAATCGATATGTAAACTCTTTTACTATTAATTTTTAACAGACTACAACTGATAATAATTATAGAAGTCACCGTGCGCGTAAATTATATAGGTCATTTTCCTAGAAACAATGACATTTCAAAGAGAATGCATTAAATGCATTCTCTTTAGGTGTATTTATTTCAAGGCTTTACTTTGATTATTTTTAAATTATTTAAACGTATTTCAATGCATTTGTAGTCGGGTTTGTATATATAAATAAAATACTAGTTATGTAATATACATCATGATCAATATTAAGGAAATAGGACTAAGTCACTAGGATTGGCGCATTGTAAGAACTCAACCAGGCGAAGGTGAACGAGCGTTCCGCACTTTCAGTTGTCAGTTGAACATCACATTTAATATAAAAACTGTAGGTATCAATTAATTGTAATGTATTTATTAGCAATTATTTATGTTGAGATTATTGCTTGGTCGTTTGATATTTGTACTGGGAAAGATTTATAAATCAAAAAAGTTAGCTGTTTATTTATTATATTTTTACTGTCTCAATTTTCAAGAATAGTATGTGATTAGGTTGTAATTAATATTATTACGATTATAATAAACTAGTCCTTTTTATAATTTTTATAAGCCCGCCCACCGTATAAATTTTAAGAATTATTATTTAAACATTTATACAACAAAATATAACATGGAATCATACTAAATCATATTCACAAGAATATAATTGGTATGCACGCATTTTAGTATTTCAAAATTATAACACAAATAATATTTTGTTAAAAAAGAAATTAAAAAATAAGCCATGTAAGTCACTGTTTCTCTCTTTAACTATAATGGGTTTTATAGTGCACTCACTTATTAATTTTAAACTTCAGTGTTATTGAAAAAAGGAATACATTTTACTCTTTTAAAACCATATTTTCTTAATAAATCAAATATTACTTTTTATTATTGAATAACAAAAAATAACACTAATGTATAACTGAATCCAGTTAATTAAAAAAAAAAATTTTATTTAATGGGTTCGGTTTAAGCATGAAATTACTCATCACTAAATTCACTAAATTATACAATAATGTTGCAATGTTTTTATTTCAGGCAAAAAAAAACATGATTGATTTGTTAAATGATGGGTTCCTAAAACGGTTTTCTTCAGTTGTGTGGACTATTAAACAATGGCCAAAAATAAATTTCATATTAGTCATATACTCAGTTATAATACTTTTGTTCAGTATTGTTGGTCTCTTTTACAAATATACAAATAATCATAATATCGACAATTACAGGTTAAGTCAAATAGTAACGATTTATATTGCAAGTGTTATATGTATACAAAAAAGTGTTACAGTATTTAGAAAGGCTAACAACATTTTGAACTTATTTGATACCACATGTACTGTTTTTTTGTTGATTCAGCAAGATCGATTGGATAAAGAAAATATTATAAGATTTAAAAAACAAAAAACATTTATATTTGATTATTGGATTCTGATTTGCTTTACCGGATGTTCATGGATTGTTTTTCCACTTCTTTATAATTATACGATAGCTAACAACGATTTGAGTAGTTCAACAGCCATAAATGTCATTAATTTTTATTATCCGATAACTGACCAATCCTACAACAGATATTTTTATTTAATTTATATAATTGAAGCCTCTTTCATAGTTTTTCTTACATTCTACTGCTTTATTTTTGATGGATTCTATTTCTTACTATGTTTGTCAACAACTACCTATTATAAAATTATAATATCAGATTTGTTGAAATTTGGACACGGTGGTAACGAAACAAGTAAGTAATGAAAATGATAAATATTTATAATATTATATACGGTAATGAATTCTCTTTGTTACGGTTTGTAACTTTTTTTTAGAGAGTTTAATGTCTATTAACAAAAACTAAACTATAATTAGGGTTCTATTGTCGCTTTAAATTTAATATACCTTGTATGTCATATTGTTTGTGAAGGTGACGAAATGTTTAAGGAATTGAAAACAACGATTTCATGTAGCCAAAAAGTGCATTTGTAAGCTTAATTTTACTATCTACCACTTGCCTAAAAATAATGTTAATATATATTTTAAATATATTCCAGTCTATATGTATTTTGTTTACTATGTTTTTAGGCACATGAGAGAATTCTGTTCCGTTGTTCGTTTCAGTGCATTATTACATGTTAGTTGTTATTCTGGCTCACTCATAACATGTGCTTACAACATCGGATTGGTATTTTATCATTTTATTATCAATTAATTTTAGATTTTTGACCAATATCTATATTAGTTTGTTTGCCTTATTAATACAATAAAAAAGTCCTGATCCGTAGTACTAACCAAAGGCGTAATCAGGGGGGGGGGGGCTAAGGGGGCTTCAGACCCCCATTGGCTGTGTGCTAGTATAAATAAATTATAAACTACTAAGCCGGGTTCCAATACAACGGTCCCGTGTACCGTAAAAAATTTTACTTTGCCATGAATTTATTGGTTAATATATTTCATTACTATACTAGTAGGCTAGTAAAGTAAATTGCTACTTGTATGATAGGTGGCGTTAGATGATTTTTGCACTAATTGACTAAATAGATTGGCTTTGGCCAATATCAACAAAAATATAGTTTAAAAAAACTAAAAAACACGCTTAAATAGTAAAATAAACTAAAAAGTAGAAAATAGTTTTCAATATAGAAATCAATTGTGAAAAAAGTGTGGGGCGCTTTTCAAGAATTGATATATGTAGCACCCCACGCTTTTTTCATAATAATACTACTTATTTTTTATTAATTAATTTCTATATTGAAAATTATTTTCTACTTTTTAGTTTATTTTACTATTTAAGCGTGTTTTTTAGTTTTTTTAAAACTATATTTATTTTCCACTTTTTAGTTCGATGTGCTTTAAAATCGTGTTTTTTTAATTCTAGTACATACGTGTCTCTATTACTTGAAAACTTCAGGTAAACAACAATGAATACACGCATGTACGTTCGGTTGCCTATCTCTTTTGGTTACATAGTTACATACAAACATACAAACAAATTACATAGTTACATACAAACAAACATATATACATATTAAATACATACAAGTGAAGCTAATATAAGCGTGTTAAAAATGAACTACTAAATGAGGATAATATAATCAAATAATTTTCCAAAAAGACACCGACAAGAATGAAACTAGATGACTGGACCAAGTAATAATATACCCAAAAGAATTGTACTGTTATGTAACAAAGAAAAATTTGAAAACTAATATGATGTAAAAGTATAGAATCATAATAATATTATATTATATTCCTATAAGAATTTTTAATGACAGCTTATTTATTAAGGTAGCCCCCTTCCATTGAAAAATCCTGGGTACGCCACTGGTACTAACCGCAATAAAACATGTTTTCAATGTCAATTTTATTCCCTACAACATATGGTGGGAAAAAACAAGTTTTTGTTTTTGAAAATATTATTTTTTGTGCAGTTCACATTGTTTATTATAATTCATTTTATAGGTTAAAATTGTAAATGATATTTTTGGAATAATTTAACTTTTAAGAAAATAACTCGTTAAAATTGTTATTAATAAAAATGTTCTTATTTCAAAAATTTGTACTTTATCCTGGTAAATCTATTAGTTTTTATGAAGAAATCCTCGTTAAGTTAGACATTTTTAAGAAAAGTTCTATATCGTTGGGCTTAGTTTGGTTAATGCAAGTTAGCTGTTTAATTTTAAACAAATTTTCTTATTTCTTCAGATATTTGTAACTTATCCTCTTAATTATATTGGCCTATTGCAATTCATTGTATCATACATCTGCGCCGCTGGACAGTTATTCAATTACCTATACTTTTCGGACCTTATGAACGAGGCGGTAATTCAGGTTAAATGATATAAAGGTGTCTATTGTGAATAAAAATATTTCTCTGGTTTTAGAGAGATGGTTTAAACTTTGGATTATACAGTTGTAACTGGACGGCAATGGATATGCGATTTAGAAAATTACTGCTGTTAGCGATGGCGATGAACAATGCGAATCAGTTGAAAATTAGAGCTACACCTACAAAAGTAATCGATTTAAAGTTATTTTTGAGTGTAAGTTTTACGAGAATATTGTATTATTCAAAAGCATACATCGGTGACGTTTTTCTAAATTGGTTTTTAAAAAACCACTTTTAATCTCGTTAATAGGCGAATAAATTAACAGTTGACACAAGACATTATACTTACGTTGAAGTATGTTTTCTGCTAACTCTTTTTATATGGATACATACAAAAACATTATTTTGAAGCATTAATTTCATTTTTAATAAAATATGTTGTCCAGGTTTTACAAACATCATATTCAGTAGCAAATATTATGGTGAACATGAAGTTATCGAATACGGATTAACAAACGTGCGTTTTTGAAATCGAAGATCGGCTGATAAAAACAAATCACAAATACACAGCTAGGTGTTTGGAAATCACATAATTTTAGTTATAAAACAAAAATCACGTTATAAATGTTTTAATCAGTTAATATATTTAAGGAAATATGATTGAAACATAGTTGTTACTTTCTACTAATATATTTATTTGCTGTATGGCGTTATAACCAATAAAATGTGCAATAATATTGAGATTTTAAAAGCATATTTTGGTGTGCAAATTTGGAATTTATGTTATAGTATGTCAACTGTATGAGTGGAATATTTTCTTACACATACATTTAATTTAACACTAACTCATTCTGTTATAAGATTCGATACAGAACTCGAAAGGTATTTGTCGAGACTAATTTTTTTTGATAATGTATAAATTTAATATAGAGTTAAAAATAATGTTATTTTATTTTTATTTTTGTAAACGGGTGAACACCCTTTGTTAAGTAATAGTACAGTAAAATCTTAATTTAACAAAAAATCAGAAAAATAGCTTAAAACTAAAAGGAAAACAATAATAAGAATAAGTAATAATTAATTAATAGTAGTTTTAAACATTGACAATAACAATTATAAAATAAATGGTATCAATAAATAAAAAATTAGTAACATATTTTAAACCTCAATGAAACTTTAATTAAATAATAATATACAATTTAAATAACAACCAAACTCAATGCTGTATATACATTTTGTTTAAACGTACTTCGTGGCATGAAAAAAAATCTATATGATCAGCAATAAGGTTAGCTAATGACAAAACTCTAGGAAAAAACAATGTGGAACTATAGTTGTTTTTATAAAATGGAACAAAGAATAATTTAGATTTTCGTAAAGTGCGATTGGGTATATTAAAATGAATCATAGATAACAATTCAGGAGAATAAGTATGACCATTTAATAAATCGTATAAAAACATAATGTCAGCAACATTTCTCCTTAATTCACAATTTGTGAAACCTAGTTGAGGGATTTGGACATTATAAACTTCTCTTGCAATGTGCATATTTAATTTATAACATAATAATTTAAAAAATGTATATTGAACATTTTCGATAATATTTTTGTATGAAGAATAACTAGGTGACCAGACGATTGAGCCAAACTCGAGATGAAATCTCACTAGAGAAAAATATAATGTTTTAAAAGAATTAATATTTTTAAAATTACTCGTATTCCTATTTATGAATCCCAACATTTTAAACATTTTAATTACAGTGTTAATGTTATGTTGAAACGCTTAATTAGTTTTGACCCGTATTTGAAATACTTTTCTGTATTTTTCCGGCGTTTTATACCTCAGCTTTTAGCTTCAATGCAGAGCAGCAGAGAGAATGGTTTTACCTTGATGTGTGTTTTTTTTGTGTCGGTATACACTGTAACTTTGTGAATACTGGACTAATTCTTTCGAGTAGCAACTCTATAAAACACAAATTTCATTTAGTTGGTACTTTAGGGGCGTAAAAGTATAAAAAGTTTACTTCTTCACAGTCGAAATTTGAAGAAACATAAAAAAACCGTACGAGTTTTTAAGTTTTACTGGCTATAATTTCGAGAAAAAGAGTCGGATCAAGTTGAAATTTATAAGGAATATTTATTTGGTATGCTCGCACACGTCAGTTGTATCAAATTTAAATTAAACCCATTTTCCATCCCCCTAGAGGGGGTTCAAGTTTTTTTAGTTTTTTAGCCGTAATTTTAGGACCTATAAGTTGAAAATTTGTCAGTAGTTAGAACTCATATGTATTCATAACATATTAAACGGAAAACAAATTCGGCACTACAGTTTTTTTTATTTGCCGGAAAACTGTGTTTTGAATCTGCGAAGATTGCGTATATATGGTATATTTTAACAAAAACGCCTAAAATCTTAAAAATGTTTTTATCAAATCATTAAAACAATTTTATGTAGATCTATGTAGAATGATACTATTAACTTTTGTGCTCAAGTAGCACTGTTGACTTTTAGTTTACACAAATTTAATTTTTTTTTTTTTTGATAAGCATCAAAGCGTTTATTTGAAAGTGATTTTATCCGAGAGGAACTAGTACAGTCAATCATAATGGAATCAAAGCAACGAAGGGACGGAGAGGTCACAGGTCTACAAGAATTATTATAAATAAAAATGATAAAGTTGAATAAAATCACTTTCAAATAAACGCTTTGATGCTTATTTGTAAATACAACACCTCAATTTAATACTTTCTAACTTTGCTGGTTTATACTGTGCTTGGTTTGGACTGTACTGGCTTGAAAATACTAACTACCGATTTGCATCGAAGAGTTATTTCGAAAGTGATTTTATCACTTTCAAATTTCAAATTTCCTGTAAACCTGTGACCTCCCCGTCCCCACTGTGCCTCGACCCAACTATGCTCCGTCCCCACTATACCCCGAACCCACTGTACTGGTTTTTTTTTGTGTCTGTATACACTGTAACTTTGTGACTACTGGACCAATTCCTTCGAGTAGCGACTCTATTAATCACAAATTTCATCTAGTTGGTACTACACTAAATCATGTATCTGATTACAGTAGATACACGATTTATTGGGAAAAGAGCCGAACCGTCTACTTATTAAGACACTTAATCGTTCTGACACGACAAAACCACAGTCGTCTTTTGTTATCACGTTGTTTTACCGCCCGCGGCCGACCGTACCCAAGGTCAACTATGAGTACATGTCCAACTACTTGTAAATTATGAAGAGGACTGTTATTTATTAGAGCCAGATTAAGTGTTGGTTTTTATATAGTCTACCGTCCCAAAATTCATTTCCTATTACACAATTTTTTTAAAGGAACACTAATGTTTTGCACATTGTTATTCATTTAAAGAGATTCACGCTTGATTGTTTAAATTATCCAATATTAGATAATCTGCTTCGTGCTAATTTAAAATTTTTAGTTTATCAACTTGTAGCTCTAATTTTGTATAAAATATTTATACAAAATATTACAATACTCGTATTGTAATATAATATCATGATTAATAATATTAAGGAAAACTGATATTAATGAGAAGTTGTCAAAAAAGGATTAACACATACGTGCGTTTTTAAATTTGAAGATCGACTGATAAAAACAAATCTTTAATTATAATCTAGGTGTTTCAAAATCCTGGAATTTTAGTTACATGTTAAAATGAATGTTACAAAATCTGTAAATCACTTTAAATATTTAAGAAAATATGTTTGACATATTATAGTTGTAACATTATAATAATATGTGTTTTCTGTATTGAGTTATAATCAATAAAATCTACAATAATATTGACATTTTAAAGGCACTTCTGGGTGTATAAATTTGAAATGTATAAAAATCTCTATCTTTATGTCGTTGACGCGAAATCGTAACACGAATTTTCCACGCAAATTTCGGAATGACCCCTAGCCCAATAATATATTCATGTTAAAATATTTGCTTTATCAACGTTTGATAGCTCATACTTATGTTGGTGAATTAATTTTTTTTATGGCATTGCTAGTTATTAAACATGTGTTTGTCAGAAGATATTAATGATCTTTGCTACTGGAGGGTGCTCTCGGTTTTTTGATACTTAAAGCCTTGTTCTGACTTATTTTGTTTTAGGATGTTAGTACACCTATTGTATGATTATAAGAGATTTAATATTTAATTGAATATTTATCATCATTTAAGATTAATTTTTTCATTACAGTCGTGAGTAGTTACATTAAGGGATTTATTAATTGTTTGAACTCTGTTTCCACAGATAATTAGTTAGTATTGTTATTATGGCGGTGGAACATTTTGAAGTTGGGGGCTAGTTTTGTTTGTTCGAGTTTGTCTATTTAAAGGCTTTACTTCGAGTATTTTTAAATTATTTAAATTAATTTCTACCTATGTAATTGTTGCCGGGTTTGTATATCATCATCGACTTAATGAATCGATTGCTCGTACATGAAATGGAGGGCTCGTGACCGAGTTAACGCTAACACACTGCTGCCTTACACACTTGGCCCTTACTCTTCCTAGAGACTGTGTACATAATACATGTATATATACTATACTATGTAGTTATATATATATAACTCATACTTCGCTATATAATGTTCGTGTACCTAATACCTGTGTCCCATAGTCTTTATAACAAGGAAAGAACTACGTCGCCAGGATTGCCGCATTGTGAAAACACAACAGAGCGAAGTCAAACGAGCGTTCCGCACTTATGTCCATCGCCAATTGAACATCGAAATTAACATAAAAAAAATTGTATGTATTATTTATGTGGACATTCTGATAGGTTTTTTGATATTAGTAGTAGAAAATACTTATATTTCAAAAGTAATAATTGTTTATTTAGTTTGTTTCAATTTTCAAGACTTATATGCGATTAGATACTATTTAATATTATTACTTTTATTATTAATTGGTTTATTAGTTGAGTTATGTCTAATTTCCAATGCGTACGAGTTACTTATATTATTTTAAAAATCAAACCCTAAATTTTAAGGATTATCATTAAAACAATCACTTAAAGAAAAAATAATATGGAATAAAAATACGAAAATATATTTACAAGCACCTTGTAAAAATATTATATGTAGGCACATTTCTGAGATTTAAAAATTAAAAAATTGTTTTTGTTAAAAACAGAATTATAAAAAATAGGCCATTCCTCTCTTTCACTGTTATGGGTTTCAAAGCTCATGTTGTAGTTCATTTTTGATGTTTTGTTCATTTTTTCATGTTCATTTTTAACTTCAGTGTACATGATTTAAAAAAAAAAATTGCTCAATAAAATCCAGGCTTCTTTTATAAATCAAATACTTTTTTTTTATTGGAGAACAAAAAATAACACTTAATAAAAAACTGATTTCAGTAATATTACACAAAATTTAAATATAATAGGTTTAGTTTAAGCACGAAATTACTTATTACTAAATAATTATATAATAATATTACAATGTTTTTATTTCAGGGAAAAAAAACATGGTTGATTTGTTGAGTGGTAGAAAGGAAGCTATGACTGACAATGGATTCTTAAAACGGTTCCGTTCAACTGTGTGGGTTATTAAACAATGGCCAAAAATGAATTTCATATTAATAATATACTCAGTCATAATACTTTTGTGTA